TTCCTATCATAGCTTAGCTAAAACTACACTAAATCGAACACTGGGCCGAGTTTCCAATCGTAGCTTAGCTAAAACTACACTAAATCGAACACTGGGCCATGTTTCCAATCGTAGCTTAGCTAAAACTACACTAACTCAAACACTGGGCCATGTTTCCTATCATAGCTTAGCTAAAACTACACTAAATCGAACACTGGGCCATGTTTCCTATCGTAGCTTAGCTAAAACTACACTAAATCGAACACTGGGCCATGTTTCCAATCGTAGCTTAGGTTAAAAAAGCTAGCAAGCTAAGCTACCGTTAGCTTTAACTGTAGCACCAGTGTCCATCAGAGAGGGCTGTGATAGGAAAACTCTCCCTTTAATGACTAAAGCCGGGCGAACACTGGGCCATGTTTCCAATCATAGCTTAGCTAAAACTGCACCAAATTGAACACTTCCTTCTCGTCTATGCTACCACCACCTTAATCTGTTCAGCAAACTGGAAAGGAAAGGTTTTTTCTGGTAATCATAGGAGACTACCACAGAGTTTAGAAGGAAAAAAGGACGAGTATAACACAACTAGGCTACCGTTAGCTTTAACTGTAGCACCAGTATCCACCAGAGAGGGCTGTGATATCAATTGAAAGCCTTTATTGTCATTGTACACAGTACAATGAGATTTGGAAACTCTCCCTTTAATGACTAAAGCTGGGCGAACACTGGGCCATGTTTCCTATCATAGCTTAGCTAAAACTACACTAAATCGAACACTGGGCCATGTTTCCTATCGTAGCTTAGCTAAAACTACACTAAATCGAACACTGGGCCATGTTTCCTATCATAGCTTAGCTAAAACTACACTAACTCAAACACTGGGCCATGTTTCCTATCATAGCTTAGCTAAAACTACACTAAATCGAACACTGGGCCGAGTTTCCAATCGTAGCTTAGCTAAAACTACACTAAATCGAACACTGGGCCATGTTTCCAATCGTAGCTTAGCTAAAACTACACTAACTCAAACACTGGGCCATGTTTCCTATCATAGCTTAGCTAAAACTACACTAA